TTGAGATATCAAAAAAGTACTCCAGAGTGTTGTTCAGCATGGGGGTGAGTAGAAAATGAAGGCTAATCATGTTTTGGGTGTACTATTCCTTTATAAAGGGTTAATTGCTGCTTCCTGTGGATGAATGTATCATTAATTATGCCATAACTCAACTAAGCTAAACAGCTACTGTGTACTTATAGAAGGAATTGACAAATGGATGACAGGGAGACCGGTGACAAAATCAATGGCTATGTGGGACCATGGACGCGAGGGAACAGGAAGTGGTTGAAGCAGGCCTGAAGGATGAAAGCCATTTTTAATAAGATAAAGCAGTGATGTAGTTCAGCATGGGTTTTATATTTGAGAAACAAAGTTTATCTTGAAAAATTTAGAACAGTCATATTTGATTTTCAACCAATAAAGAGCAGTTAGAATGTGTTAAAAAATGACAATGTATGTCCAAGAGGTAGATAAAAATATTTGGTAGAAGAAAATAAAAAAAAAAGATTTTCCTAGTGAAAAATCAATAACCTTTTAGATACTAGATTCTTAATGTTTCCAGTGGTGCTTAGGTCTACCTGTGAGTGGACTAAATGCCCAACTCCACTACTTCCTGAACTTTTTCTTCCTCTCTTTCATTACCGGACAGGCTGATTAATCCAGGTGAGTCTGGCCAATGTCGTCAGGGTAACTGAAGTCAGAAACAACTGCATTAATCAGTCTGTCCGGTAACAAAATATGGCCGATTGATAGCTAATCGGGAGGGTGATATCTGTAATTTTTGGAAAAAAAAGTAGCTGTTTGTAGGCAGTTGTTTGCTCTGTGACTTGTGGAAGAGCTGCTTCATCCACTCTCTGGGGTCTCTGGGCCGAGCTGCTCCTGCAGAACTAAGAGAGAGCAACAGCTTGGTGCTATGGCGCCTCAGACACAGGCATTAGTTAACCTTCAATCAGAATGTTGCCCAACTGCCTGCGGGGATATTCAGGTGCTGTATTTAATTTAGATATTATACTGAATAAATCCCCTTTACACCAGGATAAACCCTGTTATTAACTAACATTCCACAACGTTAGAGATACAGAGAAAAGCATGTTTGAACATCAATTTTTGCACAGTCACTACAGACCAAGGTTCCTTAATTCTGCTCCTTGAGATTAAGTGTCCTGCACC